AGGGAGCTCCACTGATGGCCCCAGTTGCCGCGTTCGCATGCGCCCACCGCACCAATTTCGGCACACCCCTTACACGTTTCGTGGCCTCATGGGGAGTTCCTCCGAGGGCCCCAGTTGCTGCGTTTGCACACCTGGTCCACACCATTTCGGCGCACCTCTTACACATGTCGTGGCCCCATGGGAAGCTCCATCTAAGGTCCCAGTGGCTGCTTTCTCTTGCCTCCTCCAGGCAATTTCGGTGCACGCCTCACATGTTTCGTGGCCCCATAGAGAACTCCATCGAAAGCCCCAGGTTGCTGCGTTCGCATTCATTTTCCACACCATTTCGGCGCAACCCCTCACGTTTGGTGGCATTAGTATGGCGCTCCACCGCATTCCCAGGTGGCTGCGTTCGCATGCCTTCTCCACACCGTCTCGGCGCCCCACTCACACGTTTCGCGGCCCCATAAAGGGGGCTCCACCGAATGCCCCAGTGGCAGGAGTCGCATGCATGACCGCGCTAATTTCGGCGCACCCCTCACACGTTGCATGGCTCCATAAGGGGGCTCCACCTGAAGGCCCCAGTGGCACGAATCGCATGCGTGACCGCGCCACTTTCAGCGCATCTCTCACACGCTTCGTGGCACCCGTGGGAGTTCCACCTAAAGCCTCAGTGGCTGCGTTCGCATGCCTCCTCCAAACAATTTCGGCGCACACCTCCCACGCTTCGTGGCCAAGGGACCAGTCGCGGCGTTCGCATGCATGCTCCACGCAATTTCGGCGCACCCCTCACACGTTTCGTGGCCCCATAAGGGCGCTCCACCGAAGGCCCCAGTTGCAGAAAGCGCAAGCGTGACCGCGCCAATTTCGGCGCACGCCTCACACGTTTCATGGCTCCACAACAGGGGCTCCACCTGAAGGCCTCAGTGGCAGTATTCTCATGCGTGACCGCGTCAACTTCGGCAGGGGGCTCCACCTGAGGCCCCAGTGGCAGGACTCGCATGCGTGACCGCGCCCATATCGGCACACCTCTCACACGTTTCGTCGCCCCATGGGGAACTCCACCTGAAGGCCCCAGTGGCAGGATTTGCAGGAGTGACCGTTCCCATGTCGGCGCATTCCTCACACGTTCAGCAGATTACTCGTAAAGGAGTGCGTGCAGATGTAACCCGTTACGGCTGACCTCTGCGTTTCCATCAGCAATGCGGTCTCGTCTTTCCCACGCACGCCTTAGTCTTTTTTAGCCCCATCCCTTAGTTTGAACCTGTCTTGTGGTACTCGCAGCTGCGTATGGTTGGGTCCTTCGCCAGGTTAATTTTTGGAGGTTCTGGGGATCCGGGGGACCCCCTAAACAAAAACAGTAAACAACGCCTTTGAATTTTGTGGGGGAACCACAACCCAGCAACCCTCAATGTGGTTTTTCCCACAACCATCCTGTGGTGTTGGGTCCTCGTTTAGACTCTGCAGCGCCCCGCGACATCTCCTCACACACCTCCTCCTCCTCCTCCCCTCCTCTGTCTTCGTCGCCGTCGATATTGTAATCTCACCATCCTCATTTCCACGACCTTTACCAGGACATCAGCACTATCATCATGATCAGAATCATTATCAGCAGCATCAACATTATCACCATCATCATTTTCATGCCGGCACACCTCTCACGTTTCGTGGTACCATCAGCTCCCGCCTTTCATTTTGACACACCTCTCACACGTTTCGTGGCCCCATAGGGGAATCCACTTAAGGCCCCAGTGGCCGCGTTCGCAGGTGTTTGCGCTTCTCATTTCGGCATGCTCCTCACACGCTTCGTGGCCCTTTTGGGAGCTCCACCTAAGGACTCAGTGTGAGCGTTCGCATGAGTTTCCGCTTCTCATGTCAGCGCACCTCCCACGCTTAGTGGTCTCATAGTGAGTTCCTCCGATGGTCCCAGTGGCAGCGTTCGCATGAATTTGCGCTTCTGATTTCCGCGCACCCCTCACACGTTTCGTGGCCCCATAGGGGGCTCCACCGAAGGTTCCAGTGGCCGCGTTCGCAGGAGCTGCCGCCTTTGATTTCGACGCACCCCTCACACGTTTGGGTCCCCCATAGGACGCTCCACCGAAAGCCCCAGCCGCAGCGTTCGCATGAGTTCCCGTGTATCATTTTTGTACACCCCTCCCACGTTTCGTGGGCGCCATAAAGAACTCAACCGAAGGCTCCAGTGGCAGGGTTCGCAGGAGTTCTGAGTTCCAGCCTCTCATTTCGGCGCGCCCCTCACTCCTTTCGCGGAGCCATGGGGAGCTCCATCGAAGGCCCCAGTGGCTGCGTTCGCGCGAGTTGTCGCCTTTCACGTCGACACACCCCTCAGACGCTTCGCGGTCTCATAGGGAGCTCCGCCGTAGACCCCAACGGCTTCGCGTGGGCTCCCGCCTTTGATTCCGGCATACCCCTCACGCGTTTCGTGCCCCCATAGGTAGTTCCACCGATGGCCATTGTGGCAGGGTTCGCATGCGTCCCCGCCCCTCATCTCGGCATGCCCCTCACGTCTCTTGGCCCCACAAGGAGTTCCACCGAAGGCTCCAGTAGGCAGGGTTCGCATGTGTCCCTGGCCTTCATCTCGGCACACCCCTCCCACGTTTCGTGGCCCCATATTCGCCCTATAATGGCCTCGTGATTCGTCCGCCGCCACCTGTCCAAGTCGCCCCGTGTCCCGTCCTTTCTGCGGCGCGCTGCCTGAGCTTCCAACGCTATTCGTAGTTTGCTCGCCGCCTTCTTTGTTCCACCTGCCTTGTGGGACTCGCAGCTGCATATTCTTGGGTCTATCGCCAGGATCATTTTTGTTGGGGGGTCTAGGGGGGTCTGGGGTCCCCCCTCACCCCTCCTTAACCCTTGAGGGCGTTTCGGGGGGGAACCCGTCCAAAACCCCTCAAGGTTTTTTGGTTGCGGGGTTCACTGGGGGGTTCTAGTTCCCAACCCCCCCCCCCACAAATCCCCGCATCGATCTTGTTTTCAGGTGGTTTCCCAGGCGTTTTGGCGAATTGCGATTTTTGAGGGTTTCATTGGACGCATCCGGGAACTTTAAAACAAAATACGTACCCCGTTGGAATGTTAGTTACCTAACAGCGAAGACTGATAGGTTTCTAGTGGTGTCAAAAGAGAGCATCATGACTCCTCAGGGGGGTCGGGGCGGGACCCGGGGCGGCTGCCGTCGAAGCCCAAATCGCTTGGGACATCCTCGCAAAATCGCTCTTGGCGCTGCTAGAACTCCATTCCCGGCGTACATTTTGGATGCCCGGAGCCAACTGTAGGCCACTTCGTGGTCTTCGAGTTCCCAGAACTCCATTCCCGGCACATTTTGGATGCCCGGAGCCAACTGTAGGCCACTTCGTGGTCTTCGAGTTCCCAGAACTCCATTCCCGGGCCACATTTTGGATGCCCGGAGCCAACTGTAGGCCACTTCGTGGTCTTCGAGTTTCCAGAACTCCATTCCCGGGCCACATTTTGGATGCCCGGAGCCAACTGTAGGCCACTTCGTGTAGGCCACTTCGTAGGTCTTCGAGTTCCCAGAACTCCATTCCTGGGCATGATTTTGAATGCCCGGAGCCAACTGCAGGCCACTTCGTGTTCTTCGAGTTCCCAGAACTCCATTCCCGGGCCACATTTTGAATGCTGAGGCAGGCTGAGGCTGAGGCTGAGGCAGGCTGAGGCTGAGGCAGGCTGGCCGAGGCTGAAGGCAGACTGAGGCTCAGGCTGAAGGCTGAGGCTGAGGCTGCAGGCTGATGCTGAGGCAGGCTGAGGCTGAGGCTGATGCAGGCTGAGGCTGAGGCAGGCTGAGGCTGAGGCCGAGGCTGAAGGCAGACTGAGGCTGAGGCTGAAGCAGGCTGAGGCTGAGGCTGAGGCAGGCTGAGGCTGAGGCTGAGGCAGGCTGATGCTGAGGCAGGCTGAGGCTGAGGCTGAGGCTGATGCAGGCTGAGGCTGAGGCAGGCTGAGGCTGAGGCCGAGGCTGAAGGCAGACTGAGGCTGAGGCTGAAGCAGGCTGAGGCTGAGGCTGAGGCTGAGGCAGGCTGAGGCTGAGGCTGAGGCAGGCTGATGCTGAGGCAGGCTGAGGCTGAGGCTGAGGCTGATGCAGGCTGAGGCTGAGGCAGGCTGAGGCTGAGGCCGAGGCTGAAGGCAGACTGAGGCTGAGGCTGAAGCAGGCTGAGGCTGAGGCTGAGGCAGGCTGAGGCTGAGGCTGAGGCAGGCTGATGCTGAGGCAGGCTGAGGCTGAGGCTGAGGCTGATGCAGGCTGAGGCTGAGGCAGGCTGAGGCTGAGGCCGAGGCTGAAGGCAGACTGAGGCTGAGGCTGAAGGCAGGCTGAGGCTGAGGCTGAGGCAGGCTGAGGCTGAGGCTGTGACTGCGACTGCCGTTGCCACTGCGACTTTCATCGCGAATGCGACTGCGACTGCGAGAACAGCAGAATTCTACAACTGGATTCTCATGTGAATCTTAAGGGGAATGCTTCCAGATATGCTCCTACACATCGCTGTTAGGTTGCTTTGCCGGGATACTTTGATTTTTGTTTGGCGCTTTTTTGTTGTCACGAAATCATGACGGTTAACTACGGCGCCCAGGGCCACCCCCAAAATTCCCCATACCCTCCTCCCTCCTCTGGGGGCCCCGAGCCCCCCCCCCCCCCCCCAAAAAAAAAGCCCCAGGTTTTTTCTGTTTGGGGAGGGGGGAGCTTTCTGGCGGGGGAGGGGGGGAGGCACTCCCACGCTGGTCTCCTTCCGTCCTATTTTGCAAGACGACCGACGTGTGGGCTTCGTGCGGCCGCACCAGTCACTCATGCCGAAGCCCTTCGTGCCGTGAGTGCCCTCCCCCACTTTCTCCTTCCCCGCGTCCGCCCTCTGCCCTGTCTCTCTTTCTCTTGCAGCTGGACAGTGAGTTCGCTCCGCCCCAGCTGCTGGAGCGCGCGAGCGGTTTGCCTCTGCCGCGCCGCGACGAGAAAAGTGGGGTTTCCGTGACGACGGAAGTTCGGGCCTGACTGCCGCCGCGCGGTATCGATGGCCGGCCGCCGCCCCGTGCTGCTCGCCCTCTGCATCGCCGCCGCCGGCCTGTGGCTGCTGAGCAGCGTGGCGGCGCCGCAGGGCTTCGCCGCCCCGTCGCCTTCCCTGCGCGCGAGGGGTGGTCGGGGGGCGCTGCCTGCGCAGACGTCTGGCGGATTTCTTTCATCGGTCCTGTCGGCGGCGATCGAGGAGGGAGGGGAGAGGGGGAAGGCCTTCTCAGAAGGCGGCGGGGCTTCTCAGAAGCCATCGGGCCTCCCGTAGCCTTCTGAGAAGGCCTTCTCTTTCTCACTTCCCCCCGTGCTCGCCGCCGACCCTGGTGCTTCTCATCGATCCTGGTGCTTTTCATGGGGGCCCGCCTCTCTAGGCTTCCCAGATGGGGTCCGAATCGATGAGGTCAAAAGGGGTGGCGTCGCGTCGCCGATGCATCGGCGATGCGGCTCGATGTGAAGCCCGAGTTTCTCCCCGCCGACGTCGCCGATGCATCGCCGATGAATCGGTCATGCGTCGTCGATGCGGCGCGAGCCTCCGGCCCCATCGACTACGACCCCATCTGGGAGGCCTCCAGTCTCGGGCCCCGCGGCCATCGGGATGAAAAACTGCACCCGGGACGTGGGCGGGAGCCGTGGGGGGCCGCGAGCTGAGAAAACAGATGAAGAACTGTCGGACGTATGGGCGTGCGCGTGCAAGGTGCTCCGATCCTGGCTGGGCCCACCCTGGGCCTGGGATCGGAGTACACGCCTTCCCGCCCTGGCTGGGAAGACGTGTGCACCGATCATGGGTCCGTGAAGACGTCGGTGCTGTATAGTTGGCGTCCTCCCAGGCGGGGCGTTCGCGAACGCGGAGGTCGAGAAGGCCCTGGACCTCCGGCGTCGGGGCGCCGAGGATTTTGGCGCTTTGAGCGCTGTCGGCCCTCGGGCGGCGCCCTCGTCGCCATGGCTGGATCCACCTCCGGATTCGAGGAGAGGTCCTGGGGCCGATTTCGAAGCCAGGGTGGCAGTTTGTCGTAACGCATTGGGCCTCAAGAGGCCATCGACCTGGGGAGATGGGGTCGGGAGCCCTGCTGGGCGTCGGAGGTCGGGGCTCGAGAAGGCTGCACCGGCTGTCGTCCTTCGGGCGCTGCCCGAGCCGAAGCCCAACGAGGAGATGCTCCCGGTCGACCTCAACCGCACCTCCCTCTATTGGGGCCTGCTCACCATCTGCATTCTGTCCGTGCTGTTCTCCAGCTACTTGTTCAACTGAGCACTCGAGGGCGGGCACGGGCTGCGCTTTCGCGCCGGATTTTTTTGTAGGCAGCGCGCCACGTGCGCGTGGAGTGTGAATCAGCGAGTAGCTGGTTGATGCCCTGCCTCATCCTCCTCTTCACGTCTTCCTCACCTTGGTCCTGTTCCCAATTGGTTGTCCAATTGTTTCGTTGTCGCTTGCGCTGGCTTTGTTGCTTCCTGCTTTCCACTGTGCAGTCAGTGCGTGTCACATACTTCTTACGGTTGTTGCAATGTGGCATGGTAGCATCTCTGTACGGCTGCAGTCTTGAGGCACATTGTTGTTGTTGTTGTTGTTGTTGTTGTTGTTGTTGCTGGTGTGTCTGTTGTTGTTTTTGCTATTGTTCTTGTTGGTGATGTTGTCGTCGTTGTCGTCGTTGTGGTTGTTGTGGTGGTTGTTGTTGTTGTTGTTGTTGTTGAACATCATTAATTCTAAAGAATAATTATTGTTGGGACCCCTGGTGCACGGCCCCCCTGCGCCGCCTAGGCCGCAGCTACATTTTCATCATTTTCGTGAGGAAGCCTCAGGTAATACGATGTGATCAAGATCCGGTTGTTTTGTTGTAATCCGTTTTCCCTTGCAAAAAACACTATAAAATGACATTTCTTGTTCTAATATAATCAAATTTCAAGAATCCCTTGCAAAAAATAAGGTAAAGTGGACATTCGCGCGCGCAAGACGAAATCCTTCCAAAAGCTTAGTGTTCGGAGCGATTTTAACATAAAAACATCAAAAAACCAATGGTTTTTCAACAAAAAAATGTCAAAATCTCATCCCGCGCGCTCTTGCGGATTCGTAGGAAACCCAACACTTTTTAAACATTTCTGTCAAACGGGCTTTTGCGAGCAACTTTTTCGAACTTCTGCGACAACGGTTGCGCACCTGCCAGGGCCATCATCCCTGTCAAATAATACCATGCGGGACACATTCGTTTTTTCTTCGCGCGCGCACGCCGAAATCTCCAAAAACCATTGGGCTTCTTAAGAATTTTAGCACCGCGCATCATTTGGGACAACCATCGAGACAACCATCGGGACAACCATATCCTCTCTCTCTTGTGTCTTCCCACATCCCTCAGGAATTCTCCCTAAAGATGTGATCAACTATCTTGTGAGTACGTATCGTGTGTATCATGTGTATCATGTACCATATGCATCATATGCAACAGATGTTCTGTGGAAGGCTTAACAACTTCTGTGGGTTAACAAGGCTTAACAACTTCTGTGGGTGTACGAACGTAGGCTTAACAACTTCTGTGGGTGTGTACTCCACGCCAGTGTAGTAGCCACGGTCGTCCGCAGGCCACGAAGTGAAGTGTCCGAACGTCATAGGGCGGGAAGCTGGGTGTGGGTGGTGGCGAAGAGTCGTGTGGATATTTGGTAGAGCTTGCACTGCCCCCCCACGAAGTGGGGGTATTGGCTGGCGTCGCATGAAAACCCTGGCACTGGTGAGAACACTGAGCGTTCGGGTAAAGTGATTGTTGTTGTTGTTGTTGTTGTTGTTGTTGTTGTTGTTGTTGTTGTTGTTGTTGTGGTGGTTTTTGTTGTCGTCGCCGTGGTGGTTGCTGCTGTTATTGGTGGTGGTGGTGTTGTCGTCGTTGTTGCTGTTGCTGCTGCTGTTGTTGTTGGTGGTGCAGTGGTTTCACACTTCCCGTTGCGTTGCTGATATTTTCGCATTTGCTTTCTGGTGCTGGTGCTCGTTGTGGCGGTGGCAGCGGTGGTGGCGATTGGCGATGGCGATAGTCGCCGCTCCGCGTCGACAGCGCTGCTGTAACCCCGCCCCGCCCATTTCTCCCAGGGACAACAGAAGTCATTTCCTGGGAGCAACCCACGCGCTGTGGTGCCTGGCCAGTCGCTGAGGTTTCTGCCCATTGCCTCCCTTCCCAGGAGGCCGAGTCGAGGTTAGCCGAGGTAACTGAAGACACGCTCCTCGTGTGTAGCGCAAGTGAATGGCATTGCGTCGGCTGTTGTTACGTCGTCTCGTTTCTGCACGTCAGGTTTTCGACGGGCCCCGACCACTCTGCGCTACCAGTCGGCTGCATCATAGGCCTGTCACTGCCTGCCTTGCGCGCCGTGTGTCGATACTGTCACGTCTCAGTTGCCAGGCTGTCCGGCCCTCGGAGTGACAGAGGTGCATGTGGCGAGCCAGATTTGGATCAGATTTGTCTGAGCTGCTGTGCGTCCAGAGTTTCCTGCTTGGCCTCATGATTTCCCCTCCCCCCCCCCACTCCCTCTGCCGCTTCCTGTCAGATCTGCTTCCTGGGCGAGCTGAGCCCCGAGCCCGCCATGGAGGACCGTCCGCTCGCCCTCGGAGCAGGTGCGGGAGGATCGGCCCTGGCACGTAGGCGGCGTGGAGCTTGTAATTGGTCATGCTTCTTTCTCTTGGGCAGACCAGCCCGTCCATAAACAGTTCATGTGCGAGCTTTCCTGAGAAGGGATGTGTCTGGGCTCAGCGAAGAGCCACAAACAAAACGGAGAGTTTTTTCTGGAAGGCCCCTCGGGGGAGAACCCACTGACTTTGACCTGAGCACTTTGGTTATGGTTATGGTCGATTTGGTCGTCCTTGGCGCCCACATCGACCACAACCAGTACTAAACTGGTTTCGGTGTTCTGGCGACTGTTGACATGCGCAACGCAATCCCAGGGTGTGTTCTCGATGTGGTTGTGGCCGCTCGCTGTCCCTGCAAAGCGGACGAGCACCAGGGACCATGGCATCAAGACAGGATTGGTGCTTAGTCAAGTCGAAGCTGGGATCAGCTCGGGCGCATCCCCACAGTGGCTGGACTGGGCTCCTATGCGGGCTTCTTGGAGGCCTATTGGATCCATGTTACCCTCTCTTGGGACCCTTTCGGTTGGTGCCATCTTCAAGCTCCGTTCGGTCCTTTTGGGAACCCTCTTCAGGAACTGCAGGGGGCCTTAGACCAAGAGGTGGAGAGGTCCTCGATCTCCCCCCCTGGAGCCCGAATCCGTGCATTTCTCCCTATTGGATCTCCCTTGGGATGCTTTGGGGTTCCTTTGGGGTTCTACTTGAATATTCAGGAAGTTCAATTCTGTAATTATCTTGCACCATGTTGGACCATCCTCGCGATTATCTCAGAAGCCAATTGGAAGCTGAAAGGTGAAACGGCCAATGAGTATTGAGCATATGCGTGTTTATGATTTTGGGTTTCGAGAGGCATCCTTTGTGGTCCGTGCCCACCTGGAGCCGTACGTGGATTATCTTGGGGCCTGTTGAAGGCATATTCGAGGCCATCTTCGGCTAACTTTACTTCTCCCTCCATATCCGACATCAAGAATCAGTAGGCCTCGCCGCCCATCCGCCACAACAAAATACACAGGCACCCTCCAATGTATTGTTCCTGGGCCTCTGGGGAGGGTGGCGGTGTATACATCACCACAGGGAGTGGGCGACTTAATACATCGCCGCCCTCCCTGAAGGTACATGCAAAGTTCGTCGGAGGGTGTCTGTGTGTCTATATTTTCGTGGCGTCGCCCAGTGCCCCGCGGCTGGTCTATTCGAGGACCCGTGGCGAATCTGAATGAAGGAGGTGGAGGAAGACGGGGACGTGGACATGGTGCACGAGTGCCGAGGCGAAGGGATGATGGTGACGAGGAGGGAGATGAGGATGAAGAGAAGGACGAGGCGGGGTAGGTGGGGGTTCTGCTGGATCTCACTTCCATGGGATTGCCATCGGAGGTCCCAAACGGCCTGATCGCGAGCCCATGGATGCTCTTGAGCTACCGTGAGCATGAGGATTCCGCCGATGTCTCCCGAGCAGGCGCCGTAGAGCCACGATTGCGTGAGGCCCTTGTGGAGTCGTCCTGGAACCACCTTAGAGCGGTATTTCTCTGTCTCGGGGGGTCCTCGAGTTGCCATCTGGGATCCCCTCAATGTCTGGCTCGGGCCGTTTTTGTGGCGTCTTTGGCCGCCTGTGGCCAACGCACGAGACGCACACCATGTTACCAACAGCAAGCTTATCATATTTCCCCTGGCCTCCCTAGGTCCTGCTGGAGAGCTCGTTGCGGGCTTCGTGAGGTCTTAGTTTGGGACTCTTCTCGGCCCTCCAAGGGCTGCTGGGCTCTTCGAGCCGCCTGGAAGAGTCTGGCGGCTGTCTTTGGGCGTCGTTCTTGCTGAAGTATTTGATGCAGGTTGGCCAAATTTGAAGCGAAGTGCAAGGCTGGGACCGAACGAGCACCGCGAGAGTTTTTGCGAAAGGGTGGGGATAGCGGAAGGCATCGCCAGTTTAGAATCTCAGCGTACTTTGACAGGCATTTGGCGGAATTTCTAAGGCGGTCCATGATGGGCCAGCGTCCCAGGGAACATCTTGACCAATTCGAGGTTCTTCTGCTCATCGGGCAGTACCTAGAGTAGCAGTAGCCACATCCGTGTGTATAGATATACAGACATCTATATGTATAGGTACATACACATATTTACATACATACATTTATATATAGATATGCGTCCGATCATGTTCGACATCGGCGATTGTGCTAGTCAACGTTCGCTTGGTCACGTCAACATCAGACGACTCGACGACTCCTGGACAACCATTTTTCTCTCCTTGCTTCCCCAGAAAGTGCTTTCTGAAATTCCCGTCTTCGAGTTACGCTTGGCCCGTTCTTATTTGAAGTGGGTGCCTTCTGGGCCATGTGGTGCCTCTGGGGCAGTGTGATGCAATCCTCTGGGGCTTCCCGAGGCAGGCAGTGCTCAAGGCCGATGAGAGGCGGGCGCTGTCCGAATTTTCCAGGAGCGTCCGTCGGAGCAGTCGGGCAGGCAAGACACGGAGAGGATCCTGAAGCCGCTTGTGCCGATCCAGGCAGCGCCCGGCATATTGTGGCGCTGCCGTTGGTTCCCATGTCGGCCAGCATGTTTGCTCAGAGGCACCTCCCATGTCCCCCCGTGCCGCTTGCCACCTCCCTCTGATGCAGCTGGCGCCGCGTACTTGTGTCTGGCCATCACCGATATTCTTCAGGGAT